AGTTTTGGAGTCTAATATATTTGGGCTGTTTGGAGACTATTGGATCAATGTATCTCAGGCAAAATATGTTTTATGTTGAGTTTTTGTGACTAAACAAAAATGATCAATACTATCATGAACTAATGTTGTAAATAAGGAGAGTATAAGTAATTATTTGTTTCCTTTATTAGCTAGATTAGTGTTTCCTTATTTTTAGGATTTGAGCTTATTCTTTTAGGCGTTGTAATCTCTCTATGTATATTGTATCTATTGTATCCCTTTGTATTTGTTAATCAAGAATAGCAATAATATTTCGAATTTCTTTTCAAGTTGGTATCAAAGCTTTGAAGCCCTCTTTGCTTTCGTAGCCCCCGCCTCTAGTGCAAATTCTCTTTTTCGCCTTTAGGGCGGATCCTCCTGCACAGCTGTCGTGCTCCATTGCAAGTCACTTTTCCAGTCTCCAGCCGCCATCAAAAAAAATTTCTGCGACTTTTTCGAAAAATTATTTTGTGATAATAATTCAGCCATCTATATAGCATACAATCCTGTCCAGCACGAATGAGCAAAATATATTGAAATCGGTCGCACTTGATCAAAGAGAAGCTAGATAGCGGACTGATTGTTACTCCATATATTCCTTCTGGTCGTTGACTAGTTGATGTCTTGACCAAGGGACTTCCAGTTGATGGATTTCAAGAACTTAGCTTAACGGGTAGTGTTGTAAATATGGAAAGTATATGTAATTATTTGTTTCCTTTATTAGCTAGATTAGTTTTTCCTTATTTTTAGGATTAGAGTTTATTCCTTTAGGCCTTGTAATCTCTATATGTATTGTATCCCTTTGTATCTGTTAATTCAGAATAACAATAATATTTCAAATTTCTTTTCAAGAAATAACTCCCCAAAAAACTTAACTGTTAGACTTGAAAAGAGTAATCAGAAAATATTATTATAATTGTGTGTATAATCTGTACAAAGGGGCTTGAATAAGCTACTTCTATCCCTAGGAAATATTTCAGTTTCCCAAGGTCTTTGACTTCGAACTCAGAGGCAAGCCGTGTCTGCAGAATCTGTCTCTCCACAAAATCATCAACTGTGATAATAATATCATCAACATATACAAGGAGCACAGTAAGCTTCCCATTTTGGGAGTGCTTGAAGAAAAGAGTGTGATCTCGTTGGCTCTGTCTATATCCTAAGGTCATCATAACCTTAGTAAACCTTCCAAACCAAGCACGAGGTGACTGCTTCAATCCATACAAGACCTTTTTTAATCGACAAACTTTATTTTCCCCCTTCACAGAATCAAAACCAGGCGGGATTTCCATGTAGACTTCTTCTTCTAACTCACCATTGAGGAAAGCATTTTTCACATCAAATTGATTTATATCCCAATTATAATGGGCAGCAAGGGACAACAAGATTCTCACTGTATTCATCTTTGCAACTGGAGCAAAGGTTTCTTCATAATCAATGCCATAGGTTTGAGTGTAACCTTTGGCGACTAATCGAGCCTTGTATCTCTCAAGAGTGCCATCAGAATTATATTTCAGGGCATAAACCCATCTGCACCCTACTGCTTTCTTTCCGTTGGGTTTATCAATAACCTCCCATGTTTTATTTTTCTCCAACACATTCATCTCCTCTTGCATGGCTTGAGCCCAATTCCCATCTTTCAAAGCTTCATGTACTGATTTTGGGATAGAAGTAGAATCTAGTGCTGAAACAAAGCTTTTGTGCTGCACAGAAAGATTAGCAGAGGAAACAAAATGGGAGATAGGGTATTGAGTACAAGAGGGACATGAAGAACAAGATTTCTTGGAACAAGATCTTTTTCCTTTTCTTAAAGCAATGGGTAAATCATCAGAAGCAGTAGTAATGGGTAAGTCATCAGAAGTATTAACATCATGATCAGAAATATGAGATTCTGGACTTACCAGTGGTTCAGACGATTGAGGTTGCTGTTGAGGCAATGTGGGCTGTTTCCTTCTTTGATATACCAATTCAGGTGTTATAATCTTCCGTATCTCTGGTGTACTTGATGTATCAGTCATAGGAGGATTAGTCACAGGTGGATCAGACAGACACATTAGGAACAGGAACAAGAGGAAGAGACACTGACACAGGTGAAGGAGTAGACACTGAAGATTCAAAGAAGGAAGGTGATGAGTCTTCTGGTGAATTATTCTCCCCCTGAAGATGAGGACCTTGGAAAAAGGACTCAGATTCCTGCAATGTAACATCCATAGAAACAAAAAATTTTCGACTTCCAGGGTGATAGCACTTGTAGCCCTTCTTATCAGGAGCATATCCAAGGAAGACACATTTAAGAGCCCTAGAATCCAACTTACTGCGATGCTGTTTATGAACATGAACAAAGACAACACACCCAAACACTTGAGGAGGAAGACTTTGCAAAGTTGGAATAGAAGGTAAAAAAGAAGTCATTGAGTGAATAGGACTTACATGATCGAGGACCCGAGTGGGTAGATGATTGATCAAGAATGCTGCAGTAAGAATAGCATCTCCCCAATAGTATTTGGGTACATGTGTCTGAAACATTAATGCACGAGCCACTTCAAGAAGGTGACGATTTTTTCTTTCAGCAACCCCATTCTGTTGAGGGGTGTCAACACAAGTAAGTTCATGAATCATACCGCAATTTCGTATAAATTGGGAAAAACTGTGATTAACATATTCAGTACCATTATCTGTCCTTAGTCTCTTGATTTTTCTACCAAATTGGGTCTCAACCATTTTATAAAATTGAAAGAACAGTTGTGGTACCTCAGACTTTTCACGCATTAAGTAAACCCAAGTTACACGAGTGCAATCATCAATAAAAGAAACAAACCATCTATTTCCAGAAGCATGAGAGACTTTAGAAGGACCCCAAACATCAGAATGAATAAGATCAAAATGTTCAACACTCTTAGTACTACTAGAAGGAAAAGACACACGATGATGCTTAGCAAACTCACAAACATCACAATGAAGAGACTTAACAGGCTTAGACAAAAACAATGACGGAAATAAAGATTTAAGTAAACCAAATGGAGGATGTCCCAAGCGCTTATGATGAAGCCAAATCAAAGAATCAGCAGTTGATTGTCCATGAGACATCAAGATGTGATCTGTTACTTTATTTGCGGGAGATTGTGACACCAGATAGTACAGCCCACCTTGCTCTTTAGCACTACCAATCGTCTTCCCCGTGGCGAGATCCTGAAAAACACAATGGGTAGGGAAGAAGGTTACAGTACAATTCAAATCTTTTGTAATTTAATGAATAGAAAGAAGATTCGTGGAGAGTTTAGGAACATGAAGAACATCTTTAAGATGTAAGGACTGCTGTAAGTTTATGTCACCAGAACCCGCAACTGATGTATGTGAGCCATCAGCTATGGCTATTGTATGAGTTCCAATGGTAGGATGATAAGAAGTAAAGGAGTCAGCACAACAAGCCATATGATCAGTAGCACCAGAATCACCAACCCAAGAATGTTTAAAATCATTACATGAAGAAAGGAAAGAATGAGTTTTGGAGCTCATATCAGTCATAGACAAAGCACTAGTATCAGATGGCTTACTCATATAATCAAGGATGGTTCGGAGCCGTTTCAACTCATCTGGACGAAATGCAGGTTGGGTCTCATTAGGTGCAAGGGTTATTTCAGAGGAAGTAAAATACGCTCGACCACGCATCCTTGCCATCTTTTCTAAGACAGTTTGCTTTCCATGAAGGCGAAAGCATAAATCCTTGATATGACCTGTTCTTTTACAATAAGAACACCATCGATCATCTCTCTTAGGTATAGAAGATGCATTATCATAGAACTTTGTAAAGGAACTCCTTTGAGAAGAGGCCATACTGCACAAAAAACAGTCAACGAAAAAGGCTCCAAGAAGCCAAAAATTCGAAAAAAAAATACCAAACGACGTTCGATCAAAGGGAAGAGCACAGATCCAGAATGAGAATGAAGAGACGATCAGAACGGTGTTGGTCGGAGCTCAAAAAGGTGGTCCACGCGCTGGTGGAGGTGATTGCGAGTGGGCCTCACTTGCCGGGAAGGTGGTGGCACGTGACAACGCGTGCGGTGGGCGCCGGAGCTGATTTTTCTGCAGCGCGGTCGTCCGACGGTCGCGATTCTGTCTGTGGTCGGTCAAAGTTGAAAAACGGCCAGAAAACGACCAAGACGCGAAGAGAAGGATTCTGCCTTGTTTGCGTTGTTTGAGCGTTTGATGAACAGTGGTGTGGCTGATGAAAAGTGAGGGAAAAACATAAGGATCTGATCTTGTTACTGAGTAATGAAGAAAAAAAAAAAAGAGAAACAGTGATCTCTCGGTCCAAGAAGTCCCTGGAAAATAGAAAGGTTTCGTAGGTGCGGAAGCAGAGCCCTCAAGATCGAGAGCTCTGATACCAACTTGAAAAGAGTAATCAGAAAATATTATTATAATTGTGTGTATAATCTGTACAAAGGGGTATCTATTTATAGAGAATGAAAACCCTAATACTTGACCTAATGGGCATGGCCCAATACAACAAATACTAATAATAATAAAATAACCAATATTTACAACAGTTAGTAAAGACCCATGGATGAAGCGTGAATAAAACACAAGCTCAGCTGTCTTGTGTTGAAGCCTAAATCTCAACCTTTTTTATTATAAGAATGAGTGTGACAACTTGACCACTTGGTGATAGAGGTTCTAATATCATGTCATAAATCAACTCCCCCAAAAGTTTAATATGTAAAGACATATGAATAGTTTTATATTTTATCTCTAACAAATGTTGTTAATGACACATCATAAATAATGCCAAATTATCTTGTCGAGATAGTTAAAGAAGTTTGGGGTATTGGACTTGTTTAATGATAAAATTTGGAGAAAAATATTTCTCCAGTAGAAACTAGAGGGACTAAATTGCTCTAAAGCAAAATTCAGTTATTAAAGAAGTAATCAAATAAAAAAAGAAAATTTTCTTACTATAGCTCAACTTTAGGTTCTCTCTTGTGCAGGCCAGTGGTGCATGGCTGCTATATAAGTCCAATACAGCAGGAAACGGATTCCTCTCTGCAACACTTCAAGGTTTCAGTGTGTTTGATGATCGCGAGGGAGTTGAACAAGAATTTCGGTTAGCGATAGGAAAGCCTGAGAATATTGGAGCCAGTCCTCTAAATGCTTCTTCATATCATCAAAACCAGGACTCTGTGGATAGTAGCTTAATCAAGCGGAATAATATTGAGCCAATTCAGACGATGCTCATTGTTGATATGAAATTTGGTCAGGATTCAACATTTATTTCTTTGTGTGTCCAAAGGCCTCAGTTGCTGGTTGCACTAGATTTTCTGCTTGCTGTAGTTGAGTTTTTCGTTCCAACAGTCAGCAGTATGCTATCATATGAAGAACACACTAGGTCCCACATGCTGGAAGCTATCATCATGGATCAGTCAACTTACAAACAACCTTGTGCTGAATTTTCCCTCTCACCTCAAAAGCCTTTAATAGTTGATGATGAAAGTTTTGATCATTTCATTTATGATGGTGATGGTGGAATTTTATATTTAAAAGATAGACAGGGTTTTAATCTCACAGAAGCTAGCTCGGAGGCTATAATATATGTTGGAAGTGGGAAGAAGTTGCAATTCAAAAATGTCGTTATTAAGGTCTCAGTGTCTCAGTTTATCAATTTCCTTTTCAAACTATTTAATGAATTTAAGAGTTAGGTAGATGCCCAAAAACCTAATTGCCTTGGTTTTGTTTTTGCAGGGTGGACAGCACTTGGATTCTTGTGTTTATCTTGGAGCAAATAGTAGCTATTCGGCTTTGAAGGATGATCATGTATTCTTGGAAGGGTTAGTTGAAAGTCCTCCGCCAAGATCCTTGAGAGGAAGTGTGGATGAAGTACCACGTCAGAATAATGCAGTTAATAATGCCACGGAGTTGATCATTGAGGTTCAGGTGAGATTCAGGTTAAGTGTTGCTACAATTAAATACTCATGCACTCGTGTTAGGACAGAAGGGTATTTGCTTAGAAGAATTAAGGAAGACAGAGTAGTTAGTTTAGACAATTAGAACAATTAGTAAGAAGAAGTTAGTCAGATAAATAAGTGATTCTTAATAATGGGAGAGTTTCATAGGTGTAGCTTTATTGTTTGCGACAGAGATTAGGCAAATGTGTTTATTATTGTCTGTGGCCGAGTGCAAAGGATAAAATTATACCCAAGCTTGATATTATTAGGGTGTAGGGGCGCTTCGGCATGTTTCTAAATTCTATAAACATTGTAAACAACATCCAACTTGCTTTAGGGAAGGATATCTCATCCTCGTTATTTTATTATTTTTTTTCTTTCCAAATAAATTGTTATATCAAAGCAAAAGAAAACAAACAGAACAAAGGGAGGGAAGTTGAAAATAAGTACTATGAATGTTATGACTTGAATGAAAAGGGACTGAATATTTTTTCTTAATGATATTACACTATATATGCTGAACTGTTGTAAATATTGAAAAAATATATGTAATTATTTGTTTCCTTTATTAGCCAGATTTGTTTTGGTTTCATACAGATTATGTTTAGGATTTGGGTTTACCCTTTTAGACCCATTAGTTTTTTGTAAATATTGTAATCTTGTACATGTTTCTATGAGTGAATAATATATCCATATTTTCCCCTTTGAAGTTGAACTAAATAATTTCTTTCCTAAGGTAAGGCTCAATCTATAGTAACTAATTACCTATCCTAGTAACAATAATTTACAATAATTATAGTGATTACAAATTTAATCGATGTGGAAAACTTCAACACTCCTCAAGTTGGTGAATAGCATCCTATCATTCTCCGCTTGCTGGTAAGATCTTGAAATCTTTATGGAGGAAGCCCTTTGGTTAACACATCTGCCAACTGAATCCCTGTAGAAATATATGTTGTGTGATCACTACATTATTGAGCTTTTCCTTTATGAAATGCCGGTCTATCTAAATATATTATCTCATATCATGCTAAACCTGATTATGAGCAATTCTAATGGTTGATATGTTGTCACAAAAAACTTCGTAGGAGTTTCATACACTTAAGATTGAATAATAGAATATTGTATATTGAATAAAATTGTGTATTACAATGTACAAGAGCTCTCTATTTAAAGAGACTAAAAGACCTAATGAGCTAAGTCCACAAGATGTGAGACTATATACACTGAACTATTCTAACAACTACTCTAACACTCCCCCTCAAGCTGGAGCATATATATTGTAAGCACCCAGCTTGCCACAAATGTATTCAACCCGAGGACCTCTAAGAGCTTTAGTGAAGACATTCGCGAGTTGATCATTAGAGTTGACAAATGCCGTTTTGCTTTCTCCTAACTGAATCTTTTCTCGAATGAAATGACAATCGATCTCTATATGTTTGATTTTCTCATGAAATACAGGATTAGATGATATATGTAGCGCAACTTGATTGTCACAAATGAGTGTCATGGGCTATTTCTGTTCACAAAGGTGGAGCTCCCGAATTAACTGCTTTAACCGGATTAGCTCGCAGGTAGCAACTCCCATTGCAGATTACTCAACCATTGCAGCACTAGAGCGGGCAACATCAGTTTGTTTCTTACTTTTCCCAGAAATCAGATTTCCTCTAAAGAAAACACAATAGCCTGAAGTAGAGCGCCTATCCGAGGGTGATCCCGCCTAATCGTCATCTGAATAACCACAAATTTCTGTATTTCCCTGATCTGAATATAATAATCCTTTCCTTGGTGCTACTCTGATGTACCGAAGGATCCTTACAGCAGCATCCCAATGAGAATCACTTGGATAGTTAAGGAACTGACTAGCCATACTAACAGCAAAAGAAATGTCCGGCCTAGTCACAGTGAGATAATTTAACTTTCCAATCACCCTCCGATAACGTCCAGGTTCAGATAATGGCTCTCCCTGTCCAGGTAGTAATTTGATAGTAGGATCCATGGGTGTATGAACTGGCTTACACCCCAACATACCAATCTCCTTTAGGATATCCAAGGCATATTTCCTTTGACAGATAGAAATGCCCTATCTAGACTATGCTACTTCAATCCCTATGAAGAAACGAAGCTTACTAAGATCCTTTGTTGGAAATTGAGTGAACAAATATTGTTTTAACTGGTGAATCCCTCCTTGATCACTTCCAGTGAGAATAATGTCATCAACATAGACTAACAGATAGATGCATTTGTCAGGAGATGTGAACCTATAAAACACAGAATGATCGGCCTTATTACGGATTAAGCCAAAAGCCTGAATGGCTGAACCATGCCCGAGGAGACTGCTTGAGCCCATATAAAGACTTACGAAGTCTGCAAACCGAACTGAGCAACAAACCCAGGTGGTTTCTCCATGTAAACCTCCTCTTGTAAATCACTATGAAGAAAAGCATTTTTAATGTCTAGTTGAAGGAGTGGCCAATGATGAACAGCAGCGAGGGCAAGAAACATTTGGACAGACTCCATCTTAGCGATAGGAGAGAATGTGTCATTATAGTCAAAGTCTGAAGATCTGAGTAAAACCTTTGGCGACTAAGCGTGCCTTGACACGGTCAACATGGCCATCAGGTCCAACCTTGACATTAAAGACCCACCGACAACCAACAATAGACTTGTCTGGAGGAGCAGGAACAAGATCCCAAGTGCTATTGGAATGAAGAGCAGTCATCTCATCAAGCATCGCTTGGCGCAACCCTGGATGGGAAAGTGCTTCACCTGTGGTCTTAGGAATAGAAATAGAAGAAAGACTAGAAACCAAGGTGTAATGAGAAGTAGACAGACAGTCATAGCTTAAAATGGTATAAAGAGGATAAAGGTTACGAGTAGTACGTATACCTTTTCTTTGGGAAATGGAAAGAGCCTCTGGTGAAGAAGCCGAAGGGGAAGAGATGACTGGAGAAGGCGATGAGTCACCCATGGTCAAGTCCGCAGGAGGCACTTTCTGACGATGCTGATAGGTGAGAAAAGGGCGGTTTGTAGGGATGGAGGCAATAGGTCTTTCCTCTGGGAGAGAGTCACCTGCAACTGGTAAAGACAAGTCAAGAAAAGGAACAGGAAGAACCTGATTTTCCTGTGACAATTAAGATGGGATAGAAGAAAAGGGTGGTTGTTCAAGGAAAGTGACATCAGCGGAAACAATATAACGATTAAGATCAGGAGAATAACAACAATAACCCTTTTGAATACGAGAATAACCAAGAAAGATACACTTAAAAGCTTTGGATGTTAACTTATCCTTATCAAGAGTGAGATCATTAACAAAACAAGTACAACCAAAGACATGTGGAGTTAGAGGATAAAGAGGAGCATCCGGAAACAAAAGATTATGAGGAATGTCATTGTTGAGCACAAATGAAAGCATGCGATTAATGAAAAAACAAGAGATGTGTTCGGCATCCGTCCATAAGTGAAGGGGAACCTGCATATGAATAAGAAGAATTGAATCTGAAATATATTGTATATTCAAGTGTATGTAATTTGTACAAGGAGACTCTCTATTTATAGAGACTACAAAACCTAATGGGATGACCTAATGGGCCAAGCCCACAATCTAGAATATTCTAGACTATTCTAATAATAATAAATTAATATTATTTCTAACACTCTCCCTCAAGCTGGTGCGTATATATCAAAAGCTCCCAGCTTGTTACAAATATGATCTATTCGGGGACCTCTAAGAGCTTTAGTGAATACATCCGCAAGTTGATCATTGGAATTGACAAATGCTGTCTCGATCTCCCTTGACTGGATCTTTTCTCTAACAAAATGACAGTCAATTTCTATATGCTTGGTCCTTTCATGAAAGACTGGGTTAGAGGATATATGCAAAGCGGCTTGGTTGTCACAAATGAGCTTCATAGGCCTTTGTTCACAGAGATGGAGTTCCTTAAGCAGTTGTCTCAGCCAGATGAGCTCACAGGTTGCATTTGCCATTGCCCGATATTTTGCCTCCGCACTGGATCTGGCAACCACAGTTTGTTTCTTACTCTTCCAAGAGATCAAATTTCCTCCTAAGAGGACACAATACCCTGAGGTGGATCGTCTATCTGAAGGAGAACCTGCCCAGTCAGCATCTGAATAACTAGAGATCTCTGAACTCCCTTTATTTGTATATAATAAACCTCTTCCTGGCGCCTTTTTAATATATCGGAGAATTCTAATAACTGCATCCCAATGGAAGTCACAGGGAGAATCAAGAAATTGACTTGCAACACTCACTGCGAAGGAGATATCTGGCCTTGTCACAGTAAGATAATTCAATTTTCCAACTAGTCGGCGGTAGCGACTAGGATTTGGCAGTGGCTCCCCCTGTCCTGGTAATAACTTAACATTGGGGTCTATAGGTGTATCAATGGGTTTACAGCCTAACATGCCCGTCTCATCTAGGATATCTAGTGCATACTTCCTCTGACAGATGGAAATGCCCCGCCTAGACTGTGCAACTTCGATCCCCAAGAAATATCGAAATCTGCCAAGATCTTTGGTCTGAAATTGATTGAATAAATGCTCTTTCAAGTGATCAATCCCGGTCTGATCACTGCCTGTAATGATAATGTCATCAACATAGACCAGAAGATAAACGCACTGGCCAGAAGAGCTATGCCGGTAAAAGACAGAATGATCGGCTTTGCTTCTGATTAAGCCAAAGGATTCAACAACTGAACTAAAGCGGCTAAACCAGGCCCGAGGAGATTGCTTCAGGCCATATAAAGATTTCCGTAGTTTACATATCATTCTAGAACTCTCCCCCTGAGCAACAAAACCTGGTGGTTGCTCCATATAGGCGAACAGAAGCCATCTTAGCAACAGGAGAAAAGGTATCCCCATAATCAAGACCAAAGATCTGTGTGTATCCCTTTGCCACTAAGCGAGCTTTAAGGCGATCAACAGTGCCATCAGGACAAACTTTAACTGTGAACACCCATCGACAACCAA